AGGCTCCTCCTTCCTGATCTGCCATCCTCAGAGGCTCCTCCCTGATGTTCCGTCCTCAGAGGCTCCTCCTCCCTGATCTCCCGTCCTCAGCATGCCCTTCCCTCCTTGTGGCCGCCTCATGGTCCACAGTGGCTGCTGGAGCTCCTGCCACAGGACCATGAGAGAGAACAGAAATCCCCTTACAGCTCTGGCCAGTGCCCAGTCAGGAAACAGCCCATTTTCTAGAGGTGGAAACTGAGGCTGCGATACGTGAAGTGACTCGTCCAAGGCCACACGTGACCCCTGCGCAGCTCGGTCTGATGCCAGAGTCCACGTTTCTGTTTGGGCAGCACCCAGCTCCTAAGCAATGACTTTCTGCTTCTCAGGCCAGCCCCTGGGTCTCCCACCCTTCCTGCAGACCGGACCCTGGCCAGCCTTCGCCCCCACTGAAGCTGCTGGGAGGCAGACCCGATGGGCAGGGCGAAAATGCCCCCTTCTCCAGGAGCTTCCAACACCGGGAACTTCTCCCTTGGGCCGAGCCTTCTTGTCCCAGATGTGCAGGCTGGACCATGCCCATCTGTCCTGGCCTTGCCCCCATTCACTGGTATGATAGCCGAGTCCCCAGGAGGGACCCCTTGCCTGAGCCGGCCCCACCCTCCTCACGCAGCCCTCCCTGCTGCTTCTGGCCCCCTGGGGGTGGCAGGCAGGTGTGGGTGCAGGGCGGCCCCTGGACAGCTGACCGTGCAGCGGGTGTCCCAGGCTGGTGATCAGAAGGCTGAGTCAGGGGATGGGGCCTTGCATTCTGAGAGAAAATAAAATAGCTCCCGTTTACTGAGTGTTTTCTTCTGCCAGGCATGGGGGCTCTGGACGAGCACATCCCTCCCCTCCCTCCGTCCCTGCCCTCCCTCGGTCTCTGCCCTCCCTCCGTCCCTCCCCTCGCTCCACCCCTCCCCTAGCTCCATTCCTCCCCTTGTTCTGTCCCTCCCCTCGCTCCATTCCTCCCCTTGTTCTGTCCCTCCCCTCGCTCCATTCCTCCCCTTGTTGGGTCCCTGCCCTGCTCCATCTCTGTCCTGGTTGGCTCAGGCTGCCATGAGCACTGTGGCTCAGGCCCCAGACCCAGCTGCCTCAACTGAAATCTCCTTTCTCACGGTTCTGAGGCTGGAAGTTGGAGATGTGGTGCGGGAGGTCATTGGTTCCTCCTGAGGCCTCTGCACGCTCATCCCAGAGGTCTCTCCCTCTTCTCCTTGGGGACCCCGTCCTCTTGGATTAGGGGCCACCCTCAGGACCTCGTGTCACCTCACCTCTTCCGAGTCCTTCTCAGAGTCACGTTTGCAGCAGGTTCTGCATGATGGCTTTGCAGTAAGAATCACTTCCACTCACTCCACAGTCCTAGCGAGGGCCCCACTCTGTGCCTTTTTGATGCCCGAGAGGAAACCAAATGGAAAAGCCAAAGGCCCCGGGAAGCTGATATGTGGGGAGTGGGGAGGGGTGGGGGCAGAATTGAGGAAGCTCTGGATTGGTTTTTTTTTCTGCTCCTTTTCTCTCTCCCAGTGCTTGTCCCTCTCCCCCTCTTTCCCTGAATGTGTTGCAGTTTTCTACAGGACTCATACAATTCCTACTTGACCCACTTTGGCTGTTTTCTTTTCTTTCTTTTTTTTAAGAGCTAGGGTCTCACTCTGTCACCCAGACTGGAGTGCAGTGGCCCAGTCCTAGCTCACTGCAGCCTCACAGTCCTGGACTCAAGCAATCCTCCCGCCTCAGCCTCCCAAGTAGTTGAGACTACAGGCACGTGCCACCCTGCCCAGCTAATTTTTATTTTTTGTAGAGATGGGGTCTTGCTACTTTGCCCAGCTTGGTCTTGAACTCCTGGCCTCAATTGATTTTCTCACCTTGGCATCCCAAAAAGCCTAGATTATGGGTGTGAGCCGTCACACCCAGCCTAAGTGTTTTCTTTTATCTATTAAGTGTTGCAAAAAAATGAATTTTGTGCTAAATTCTCTCATTTATCCAGTCAATTTTTATTGATTCCTTACCTGAGATTCAATATTGAACAAGACCAACAAGGTCTCAGCCAGTTTCTAGTGACGTATCAGGCTGAGCTGACATGGAGGCCTCTCTCCCTCCACTGCCAACACAGAAATCCTTGGAAAAAAAAACATGCATCAGGCGTATCTGAGCTGGAAAGAAAGGCTCATTCCAGAGAGAAAGAGAACTCGAAGCCCGAGGAGATACTGGGAGCTAACCCCAGGGCAGTCTCCAGGGTCTTGGCCCCTCTGGGCCTGGGACCGCTTCCAACACTCTCCTGGCATTGGGAGCCACAGTTGCAGATCCCCCGAGGCCAGACGCCAGCACCGGACCCCCTGCATAAAGGTAAACTCTCAGAGAACCCCCGTTGTGCAGAGGCGACTGACACACGTGGATAACTGGGAGTGTCTGCAGAACAAAGCCAAAAGTATGGAGCAGGATAAATGTTTTAAAACATTTTTTAAAGTTGACAGAAACAGAATAAAAAGGCACACCACACCCCACACCAAATGAACCAAGAATGGTTAACCTTGGAGTTCAAAGATAAAAAGCAATCTGCTGGGCATCCAAGCAGAAAGGACAAGTCTCCTGAGAGAAAAAAAAACAAAAAACCAATCAGGTTTGCTTTAGACACTACCCCAGTAACACTCGACATTACCCCAGTTAACACTCAATGCTAAAAGGCAATGAACGATTCGCACGAGGTCTTCATGGCAAGAGAGACCCAAGGGTTTGATGCTCAAATAGTTGCTTACTTGTCAGGCAGCAAGTAAGGCACTGCCGCATGTAAAGACTCAGGGGCTGCCTGGCGGGTTGGCTCATGCCTGTAATCCCAGCACGAGGCAGGTGAATCACTTGAGGTCAGGAGTTCGAGACCAGCCTGACCAACATGGCGAAACCCCGTCTCTACTGAAAATACAAAAATTAGCCAGGTGTGGTGGCGGG